GGGAGCACCCAATATTATTGGAAAAAAAGAGAGAGGGGGGAAATAGGTCCGTAAGAATGTAAATCAACTACATACAATTGACTAAGATAACAATATGCAATATGTACTCATTGTCTCGTATAGATAACTTGTTTGATTAGTTACAAGGATCCTCCCACTTTTAAAAGATTGATCTTTAGTCTGGTTATTATCAGCTTAGAATAAGAAAGGAAGATATTTCGATGTAAGCCTCTAGAACCCAGTACAAATATTATGAGTTACTTGTAATGCCTTTCGAACTCGCCAATTCTCTACCCGCATTCATAGATATAATGAATATGGTGTTTAAGTTGTTTCTGGAAAAAAAAAAGTATCATGGTCTTTATTTATGATATTAAGTATATTCTTGTAGCTATAAAGAACACGAAGAATTACTTGAAAAAAAAAACTGTGTTATAGATACTACCGAAAAATTAGCTTTTTTACCAAGTTTTTGAAGTGTGAACTTTAGCTAGACTCGGTGGTATTCATAGGACACACGATATGTAAGAATGAAATTATGGTAGATTCTGAGAAGATAGAAGCACTTCCTAAATGGCCGAGACCCGTTTCTCCTAAAGAGATTGATCTTTTTTTTTTTTTTTGGCTTGACAGGCTACTACAAGCATTATTTGTATAGGATTCCTCTAGAATAGTACCACTACTCACCAAGTTAACATAGAAAGTCACCAAATTTCAGTGAATGTAGGAATGTAAGACGAGATTCCAGAAGCCCCAGGGCATGTTTGGCAAGCATACCAGTGTTATTCTTATTCCAATAGGCTCTAGAGGATTCACGATGTTCTGTGATACTTCGAGGGTAGGATTAGGATATTTTCTCATGCAGAATAGTCCTGTAATAGCTTATGCTTCAATAAAGTTGAAGAAGCCCAAGTTGGATGATGCCACTCATGAGTTGGAGACGGTCACAATGGTATTTCCATTTAGGATTTAGAGATACTATTTATACGAAGAAATCTATGAGATTTACACATAGTACAAGAGCCTGAAGCACATTTAAAATCACAACAAATAATAATATTTATCAATGCTGANTATTAATATTTATCAATGCTGATGGAGGGAATTACTGAAGATATAACTGTACTATTTTGTATTGTATGGGAAATGTAAAATATTATGGCTTATGCAAAAAAAAAAGATTAAAAAAAACATGGGTAATTTGGCGCATATAGTTCGTGTAAGATACTTTTGTAAAAAGATGCGCATAGACTAGAAGGTACACTCAGTGTGAATAAAAAAAATTCAAAGACATTATTGGCTATTGGTCGACTGATGTAGAGTGCATAAAGGCTAGTCAATACGAGGATGAGCGATTGTTCAAGTACCGAGATTAGTTTTTAGCTAGTAAAAGCGAGGATATGATTGTTAATAATGATGGTATTCTCTAACTAGGTAATCAATTATGTGTAGCAAACATATATGGGTTGAGACAGGTTATTTGTGATGGAGCTCACAACTCTATATACACTATATATCGCAAGTCAATAAGATGCAATATGACTAGAAAAAAAAGGATTGGTTGGAAAAGAAAAAAAAAGAAATAAAAAAAGAATAATTTGTTAACTTTGGTTCTAACTATTTGACATGTCGGCATGTTAAGGCAAGCACTTGCGACTCACAGGCCCACTACAACAACACAAGATTCTGAAGTAGAAACGCAATAGAATTACAATACATATATGTCTAAATTATCTAAACCATTAGAGGTATGATTATATGTGGGAAAGTTGTAAATTGGCTTACATAGTAAGCATGTTTCTTGCTAGTCAAAACTCTTATAGTAAGGAAAATATGCACAAATATACATGAATGAAAAAATTATCTGACTCAATAGAGCTCTATTGTCCATCTCTGATAGAGGATCACAATTCACTTCACAATTTGGAAATCTTTTCAAGAGACGTGGAGTACACGAGTAGATCTTAGTACTAGTTTTATCACACGCAAATGCAAAGTCCGAATTACTATACAGATCTTCACGGATATGTTGAGAGATTGCATTCTTGAGTTTGGAGGTTGTTGGAATGCCTATCTATCTTTAGCTGGATTTCCCTACCATAATAACTTTCAGTCCAACATTCAAATGGCACCATACGAGGCATTGTATGGTAAGAGATGTTGTTCTCCTATCGATAGTTTGAATCTAGTGAGACTAACTTATGAGGACCTGGCTAGTACAAGAAGCTATTGACAAGGTCGAATTGATCAGGCAAAAAAATAAAATTGCTCACAACTAAAAGCAAACAAAAGTTTTAGCTGGTAAAAGGAAAAAGGACTTGGAATTTCTAGTTGGAGGTCGAGTTTTACCATGTATGTCTCCCATGAAAGGTGTAGTGTGATTAAAAAAAGGAAATTAAGTCCTAAATTTTATAAGACCGTACAAGATAGTTGAACGAGTAGGAGCTGTGGCATATCGTTTGGCACTTCCTCCTGAATTATCTTTTATTCATCGAGTGTTTCATGTCTCAATGCTAAGAAAATGTATATCAGAAAAGTTTTATGGAGAAATCATACTGTTGTGGATGAAAAGTTTTCTTACAAGGAGGAGCCGATGGCTATTGTGGATAGACATATAAGAAACCTACGTTCAAAAGAAATAGAATTCGTAAACGTCTTATGGAGAAATCATACTGTTGAAGAGGCTACTTGGGAACTGGAAGATGCTATGCGAGTCAAGTACCCTCATATGTTTCAAACAATAAGTATGGACTTGTTTTAAATTCGGGGACCGAATTTCCTAAGGTGGTGAGAATGCAATACCCCATGTTTAGATAGGGCATATTAGTCTTTTAACATAACTTAACCCAAAAACAAATAATAATAACAAAAGATGAATTAGGGCCAAGCCACTACGTTAGCAGAAGAAAAAGGGATAGGGGCAAAGTAATGGAGTTCCGCAGAGGCAAACTCACAGGAGTAATCGAAGGGAACGACGAGGTGGGTCTTCTTCTTTCTAGCGAAGGGATTCTCGAAGCAGGAGGACAAATTAGGTAATTAAATTCCAAATTTTTCCATGGTAATCTATCAGGGAGTCCCTTTACTCAATGCCTAACATATTATTAGTTATTATTTCACTAATTAAGGGTAGAAACAAGACTAACAACTTAAGATATTCTTTTATAACAAATAATGAATTCCTATTAAATTGACTGAAAAATCTTTTAGGTTATACCGACACTCTAATGTACAAGCTAGAAATATTTTAGTACAAGTATTAATTGAGGGGAAGAATACAGGTTTTGTGCAAACGAATAAAATTTTTGTTTCCATATACAAATAGTTGGATAGATCGCAATGTAAGAACAAATAGAGAATCACTACTCGGTTCCAAAGGAATAAAAACGGGGGAATTAATCTGATATGAAGTATCGGACAAGCTATGTTGGAATTCACGGAGTTAATACATAGATTGGTTTTGTTACAAGTAGGTAGTTGAAGAAGTTGAACAAAGTGTTCGAGGTGGCACATTGGGCATTCCTGCACAAGTATGGTGAGTAGTAATCTTACCACAATTTATATTTTCATAACCTGCATGGTTTATATATGATTTTGAAAATAAATGTGTTAACGATGCTTTGAAATTGCATGTGGGACAAGTCCTTTACTTGATATGGTACCGAACAGTTTACTTGAGATGTTTACCAGTTAATCTAAATATTTTTACCGTTACTGGATATGTTTTACCGTTACTTGAGATGTTACAGTTATTTGAATTATTCTCACTGTTACTAGACATGTTTTACTGTTACTTAAGACATGATTACCGTTACCGAAATAAAATTACAAGATTTGATAAGAAACGATATGCCCTTTATTATTTTCAAAATGCTTTTGTACGAGTATCTACTGTTTACAAGAAAGAGTATAAATGGGAGGAGACTTTGAAGGATCCCGTAGATAACGGCGGGGTCGTTAGACCTGGTGCACCTTGTATTTACCAATTACAGAGTACAGTTATAGCCCACGCTAGTGGGAAGGTAGAACTAGCATACCGTTATCGATTTTCCTCGAGTAGGGACTACCGTTATATTTGACTTCTTGCGAAGAAGTCCACAGTTATACCGATTACATGATTCGTTCATTGAAACCTTCCAAAATATGAATATTGATATAATACAGTGGTTATCGAGTTTATTACGGAATTGTCAATCGTATTATACTACAAGAAAAACATGATGAGACTAAAAATTGTTTATTGTTTCTGAAATGGGCATTTATATGATAATTTCTGCTTAATATACTAGCATATTTTCTGACTTGTCCCCAAATAAAAACGGTTGTGGTTAAGTGTTATTACTCACTGAGCTAGCCACTCATTCCCCGCTAATTTTTTTTTCCAGAGACAGTAGTTGACGCAGGCGAGGATTTCGTTAATTAGAGCGCACAGGTTGATATTTCTCGGTGAGCCTCGCACTTGTTCGCGTGGGCAGAGATTTTATTTATTGTTATGGTCTTTTCATTGAACTCTTAGAGTCGCTCCATAGTCATTATTTTAGTGTCATGGGTATTCTTTTGTTATTATAGTCTTATGTTGAGTATCGTTCTCATTTATCAAAGTTGGAGATAAATTAGTATTTCAGTGGTTAGTTGGTGGTTTAGTTATGGTGGAGGCTTGTATTGGTTAATTGACAAGTTGTCAATTGTTTGGTATGATATTAGGATGTTTGGTTGTTGATTTGAGACAGGAAAATTTTTGGGATGGTCCAAAAACAGGGAAAACTCTGTCCGATTTTCTGTAAAATTACCGATGAGGCTTACTTGGGAGCACTTGCTCCTAAGCGCCGGTCACAATCCTAAATTGGGTCGTGACAGTATATAATATAACTTTTAAGCCAATAAAAAATAACAATAATGATAAAAAAGAAAATATAGGAGGGCGGGTCTTCTCTTTCACGGGAAATGGGGTGGGGATGTAATGTTTGGAAGAGTTTTAATTATTTCACTTTATACTTCTGCTTCCTGTTATGCTTGAATTGAAAAGGATATCATACTCTTAGGATATGAAATAAGCACAGCACCTATTTCCACTGGAATAAAATGATGACTTGGGAAGAAGGTGCCATCAAATCATCCTCTTTAGCCCAGTCGATCTGCCTAGGATATTTGACAGATACCATCTTTTGAGAGTCAACTAGCTAGACAGAGAATGGAGATATATTTGGAAGATCTTTCTTGTAAAACAGAAAAGGTTATGAAATAGGGGATTTGTCTTTGTTATAGGCACTTGAAATTGTATATTTTTAGCTGAGAGGAAAACAGAACATAGCTTCATGTCTTTTCCTGCTACCTTATGTATTGAGTTAATGCATCATTATATTAAGTAACTGCCTAAATCCTAAATGATAAAATGATTCCTTCATGTATCCCAAAGGCTTGATGAAGAGTTCAGTTGAGCATTCACCTCCGTGGAACTCTAGGGTCTTGCAAGGTCAAGAAAAAGCTGTAAATGCTTATGAAGAGAATGCCTTGAGACGACCTCATGATTTGCGTCAACCACCACAGCGAAAGCTTAGATGGAGGCCAGGACAAGTTAGATTGGAGAATCAGCAGCATAATTATATTCTTGATCCGTGGTTAGACTTTATTGGAAAGGAAGTTCATGGCACAAGTCCTTCCAGTAATGGATTTTCCAATTTACAGTCTTCAAAAATACCATCCTTTGCAAGTGAATCTTTGTCTATTCCAAAGATTGTCGATTACAGAAATTCAAATTCTAAAGGTAATGTAGAGTCAGAAGTTATGGGGATCCAACCCACTGGTGGAAGCAAATTAAAGCTATTTGGAGTGGATATACTAAATGGTCTTGAGTCCACTTCCCCACATGGAAGTGAACTTGCACATTTTGGTGCTTTTCCAGCAGCTTCTGAGACCGTTAATTTTCTGGAACAGAGTAAAAACACTTCTGGCGATTCAGACACCCAATGCAGGGAAAGCATTATTCGCAGTTGCACAAAGGTAATTTGGATTCCGTTTTTAATCAACATTATTAACATTATACAATTCCGAGAAGAGTTCAGCCTTTGATAAATTTTAAACACGTGAACAGCTGTCTTTGTCTGAAGTCTTTTTTATCCCTTCTCCTTTTAGGTACTCAAGTATGGATGTGCTCTTGGAAGATCTATAGACATGTCACGTGTAAAGGGGTATGGGGAACTCATTTCTGAACTCGACAAGCTGTTTGGATTTGAAGGGTCTCTTCTGGATGGTAGCAAGGATTGGTATGTAACCTATCAAGATAGCGAAGGAAACACAAAGTTACTTGGAGATTATCCTTGGTCGTCAGTATTAAATCCAACTTAGTTCATTTATAATGTTTCTTTCCATGAATCTTGATTATAATCTTATTTCAAACTAACATGCAGCGATTTCCAGGCCATGGTGCGAAAGATGTTTATTTGTTCAATAGGAGCTGATTACCTGGCTGACAGAAGCTTCTGAAACTAAATAGTTAGCTCACTTTCATCTCTTCAACTGAAAAAAATGCTTAGGGATCACATAGTCAATCACATTGATCTTTTCGGGTCACATACTCATAAAACACTGATCTACTAGTATGTATCAGAAAAAAGCAAACTGAATTATTTGCCTGTTAAGTTGATGTATTTTATGAATATCTTCTGTGAAGCGGGAGCTTATACCTCCATGCTTGATAAATAATGTGGGATGACACCTTTTGCCATCATCTTTATGTATTTGGTGAGGAATAAATGCATCTATCGTAATCACTAAAGTGTAGAAGTGTAATTGGTGTTTCTCTTTCTGCAACTGGTCGATATTAGCCACACTTCAAAACTGAGGGCCACTTCACTCGGAGAAAACTTACTCGCACATGTATTTGCACCAAGCAAATTAATGCACGACATGTCTATTGTAAATCCATGAATTCCATTAGATTATTCATTCTAATTAAGCACATGAACCATAAATTGTTATAATAAGACCATTCTATCAATCCTTTATTATGAAACAACTGATGAAGGACCAAGCGATCCCTTTTCCTTCACAAACATTTATCTCTTAACCTTGATTAAATACATTTAGGGTTAATTATTTGATTTGGTGTAAACGTCAGGTGTAAAAACTTTCCCACTTAACAATCTCCTGTCTGATGACAAATTTCTGCATGCCAAGAGTTGGTCCAGTTTTTTTTGGTCAACTTGCAATATTTTTTGTGGCAATATCTTCGATTTACGAGTACCAACTACTAATGTTATTAGTCCCGATCAGACGTGGGAAAGTTAACTTTTATAGGAGGTGAAACCTCCGTCTACCACCAGGTTTTGGCCACTAATATACTTGGCATCATCATTGGCCAAATATAGAGCAGCATTGGCCACATCAATTGGCTCAGAGTAGGCTCCTTTCAACTCACTTGAACGATACAACATGTTAACAGGAACTTGAGGATCCACTCCAGGGTAATACGCTTTCACCTCATCAATATAAAACGGTGTTGGAATTGCAAAGGGCGATATGCAGTTGATTCTGATCCCGTTCTTGCATAGTTCTGCTGTTACGGATCTCATGATTTCGATCGCGCAGGATTTGGGTTGAATATGTGGCGCCTGTGACGCTAGCCGTGCACAAAATGGAACCAGTTTGCCGTGTGATCATCACTCGAGCTGCGTGCTTAATTTCTGCCGCCATCCCTCTAACGTTGATAGCCATGACTTGGTCGAACGCATTGAGGCAGGGGCGGCTCAGTAAGCCAAACTTTAACTAGGGCCTTAAGCTTCTTGTTACAAACAAAAAATATCATATATAATTTCATTTGAAGTTTATTTTCTAGCTTTTTGAATGTAAATTATTAATAATGTGTTTATAATCAATTTCTATTAATTTAGTTATAGTCTATTGATTAGGATCATATATGTTTCTAGGAATACAATTTTTCAATTTATTTAGAATTTCCATATGTTCTTGAGGATCTATGCTAGATTTCTCATCAACTTCTTCTCCTTCTTCGATTTTATTACCGTGTAGCTCAATTATATTGATGATTTTTCATCCACCATAAATTCTTTCATATTTTCTTCTTTAGAATTTTTCTTATTTGATAAAAATTTATCAAAGGTTCCTTTTTGGCATTTTAAACACCCAGATTTATTTTTTCTAGTTGATATATTAAAATTTCAATAAAATAACTAAAAAGACAATCTATGCTCACACATAAAAAGTATAAAAAAACTAACAAATTTTAGATGTAAAATAATAAAATATAGAACAATCAAACCGAGCTCACCAAATAGATAACTTGAATATGTGATACACTATCGATGCTTCAATACTCTTGATGCAACTACAGAAAACTTGAGAACAAACAAAAGAGTTTGACAATTGATTTTTTCCTCTCTTGCTTTTTAGAATAGTTTATGAGATAGTGACTTAGCGAGACTTGGAATCTTTATGTCAAATGAAATATAGAGGAGCAAAAGTGAATATATTTTTGAAGAGAAAGGTAATAAGAGACAAAATGATGTGGGCTAATGGTGATTGTGTATAAATAAGACAAAATGGGGAGTGAATCCCAAAAATATTGTGTTAGTTTACCAATTTTTCTCCAACGGTCCAATCTTTCCTTTTTTTTTTTTCATGAAAATTGTACCCTTGTTTTTTCTTCCAAATACTTAATATTCTTACAGAAAAATTGATACCTATAGGAAATTTCCAGGGCCCCACCATTGGGCCACCCCTGATCGAGGTCGAGGTCGGCATGTTCCATGGAGTACGGCTGCAACACGTACATATAGGGAGGGCTTAAGAATATATAAATAAGTGTAAGTTCTATGGACGTGTAATATTTATACATTTAAATTATTGTGGATTAAGTCTGTATGATAAACTTCAGAAATAGATAAGCTGATAAACTTTAGTATAATTAACATGTTATCACTGTATGGGTCCACATTTGACCGACCACGACTGACGACGAGTACGACGACTGACGAGGCCTCCTTAAAGTGACGTTCTAAAGAGGACGACCCTGAAACAGACAAAGACTAGACGACCCTTGTAGTAGAGTATAGCCATTAGGGGACATCAGGAATATTCCTTGAAATATTCCTTGCATTTTGTTTTGTACAGTTTAGAAGAGTTTCTCTATGAGTATAACTAGGGGAATATAACCTTGTAAGGAAGGGGGATTTTTGGTGGAAACATTATTATTGGCGAATAGACGTAAACCTTGTAATCTACCTTCTCTTTTTCTATCAATCTTTCTAGAGATTATTACCCTCAGCTAAGATTTACCCCTTCATTTTTGATTGATTTGTTCAAAAAGTTTTAATACCTTTGAGTCAAACAATTTGGCACTGTTTGTGGGAATTTCTATAGCTGAAATCGTAGTTTTCATCTAGATTCTCGAAAGTAATAATCACTTTTCTTCAGTTTCATAAAAACCAGCAATGGCGGGAAAGGGAGAAGCGAGGCTAAAGGCAGTAGTGGATGTCACGAACAACCTCCCGAATTCCCTAACGAAGCCAGTGGAGAAGACAATGAGAATGCAACACCAAGTGTTACACCGGAGGGGGAGATCTTGCCTTCTCCGCACGGAGATCTAACGATCTTGCGCGAGAGGAGAACATCAACATCCGCGGCAGGAGAAACGCCGTCGGCCGTCAAAAAGCTACTAGAAGAATGGCTGGAAAGTACCTTGAGCAACATGCTCGAGAAACCCGCTCAGAGAGACACCGAAGACACGTCACCCGCAGAAACCGCAGCTGCTGCCGATGAGCCAGACGCTACACGAACAGGTAACACCCGTACTATTATCGATACGGGCAACGATACACTCACAGCCATCTTAAAGAAAATGGAAGAGATGGAAAGTGAGAACAAAATACTCCGCGACCAGATGAAAGAACACCGGGAGAGAGTTGATAAAATACCAGGCACTCCAAAGTTATTACCAAAATGCGATCTAGGCCGATTCGTCGAACAACCATACAGCGAAGGGGCAACTCCCCATTCTATTCCAAATAGCTTCAAAATGCCACCATACCTGAAAATATACGATGGGACTACGGACCCAGAGGATCACTTAATCCATTATGTTACCGCAGTAAAAGGTAGTGATCTATCAAAAGAACAGGTATCGTCTGTGCTGCTAAAAAAGTTCGGCGAAACTCTGACGGGGGAGCATTGACATGGTATTCCCAACTACCAGCACGATCGATATCGACGTTCGAGGAGATGGCGGATAAATTTACTACCGCTCATGCGGGAGCAAAGAAGGCCGAGGCTAGGGTTAATGATATCTTCGCCGTCAGGAAAACGATAGGCGAGGGACTTCGGGATTTCCTAGCCCGATTCAATAGAGTGAGGATGAGCCTACTGAACGTGTCAGAAGGGATGGCAGTAGCAGCCTTTCAAAACTTAAGCAGGAACGGATCAAAGGCAACCAAAAAACTACTCAGTAGACTCATGAAGTACCCCCCTACACGTGGGAAGAGATCCACAACGCCTATTGCGCCGAAGTGAGGGCAGACGAGGATGACCTGAACGGCCTGCTTCAGCGATTAACATCAGTACAGTGAGAGCCAAGGAGAGATCGACGTAACGACGGGCAAAAGGATCAATTACCACGTTTCAATTGAGAAAGGCATCAACCCTATATCCGAACATCCAATCCACCCCCTCCACGACACGCGGATGTCGCGCCCTGACACACTGCATCCCTCCGCAACAAAACAGGTATGCCTCCACAACTATCTGCTCATAACTTTTGTGTTTCCCCTTCAGAAATAGTGTACGCACTGGAAAAACTGGGCACGAAGGTGCAGTGGCCGCAAAAGATGAAATCGGATCCAAGCACCACGAGGTCGAACGTCCTGTGTGAATTCCACCAGGAGAGAGGACACAAGAACGAAGATTGCATAGGTCTGCGACAGGGGTATCTGAAAGAACTGCTAAGCGATAAAGGACGGGCCAACTTCGCTCGAGGGCGCGATCAACCTCAAGGACCTCCAAAGCCACCATCACCGGCTCGCACCATACAAATGATCATTGGCGGTGGCGACAATGCGGTGATCAACCATGTAAAATTCACCACCACACATAAACGCAAACGGACAGTTGCACACGAACGGTATGACGACCTCGAAGACAGTATCATCTTTGATAAGTCGGATGCCGACAGTTTGTCTTTCCCTCACTATGATGCTTTGGTTATAACGTTACGCATCGCGGATACCAATGTAAAAAGAATAATGGTGGATGATGGAAGCGGCGCATGTATTATTCACCCACGAGTTCTCATGAAGATGAGACTCGAGGATAAAATAATACCGCATTACATAACACTAACGGGTTTTAATAATTCAGTAGAGCGGACATCTGGAGTAATAGTGCTATCTGTCCTGGCAGGAGGGGTTACCCTGGAAATGACATTCCACGTCATGAACCAGGAAACGGCCTATAACGCCATCATAGGACGACCATGGATACACGCCATGCGAGCCGTCCCTTCAAGCTTCTATCAAGTAATCAAATTTCCCACCCCTTGGGGGACATTCAGCATCCGAGGCGAGCCACGTACCGCCCAGGAATGCTATCAGATCGCCCAAGATTGCACACACACCAAACAACTAAAGGGGGCAAGTGCGGAAGCATAGCAATCGGCCATGTCGGGAACCAAACCCGATGTACAAGTAGAGGCCATCAAAGACCCGGACATCGTAGAGGCTTGCAAGGCAACC